GATGTTTCTTCTGTGGTCCTAAAATTACTATGAATCACATCCTACACCACATCTTACAGGCAAAGGTTATAATTAATTATACACCGCCCGATTAATATTTTTATTTGTCATTGGTACTTCTCGCCTACCTTTAATTCTTCTGCTTAAATCTGAAGATTCTATAAAGTAAATCACCCCGTGCTAAGGGAAAAGAAGCGACAGATTATGCAATTATCCACTTCTCGCAAGCGTGACTTGTCCTTGGTTGATCACTAGCGTCGCATAAATATCAGGTATTACGAGGTTGTCACGCGTCGAAATTCGAACCGACGCATTTTGCCGCTTCAGGCTGTTCCTCGCGGATGGGAGGGGAAAGATAGAAGGGGGAGGGCAGCGTGGAAGAGACCTTAATCTCATGGTGGACGGCGTAGGGCCCTTCAGCTGGGCCCCCACCGCGTGCGTATGTCCTCTAATCATGGCTGGGAAGGCCGCCGCGGCTTGGGATAGAGACGTTCCACAGCCTAATTGCTATATATATGCCAAAAGGGGTTGGGGGGAGGGCCCGGTCGGTCTCGGTCGGTTATGCTGGGACTCACGGTGTTATTAAACCCTCGGGGCCCCTCGCTCCACCTCCGTCACGGGGAAACGTTCGGTGGGGCCGTCAGTGGACTCCGAATATCCAGCATGCTCGAAAAACTCAACGCTCCGTGAATCGAAGTAGCCGCGCGAGCAGAGAAGTTCGCTTTGAGTTAACGCCGAATAATTACTGCATCGTGATTTACAAAATCGAACGATTACGGGGCAACTTACTTCCGTAATCGGAACGCCAGCAGTCTGACTTTGCGAATTCTCATGATACAAGTATAATCCGAAATTCTTAACATATCATCTAAATTTTTAATGAGGTTAAAATGAGAAAGTTATAACTACAATACATAGAATAACAATAACCGATTCAAAGCTAATACGTACGTAGACACATCGATTTGAATATATTGTTTTCAATGTGTTTTCATGTATTTATTTTTATTCGTTAATCCTATTATTTTACACCAATATTACAAGAAGTTATGTGACATGTGTCTATATATAGGATCGAATCTTTTCCTACTACCGCGACGGATGCTGGTTAAGGTTAAATAACTCGAAAGCCATAACAATTTTTTCCAGTAAACTAAGATAACTAATGACCTCTAGTATATAGCACCGTCTCCTCATTCCTCTTTTCTCTCTCCTTCCCTGGCAGGTACTACGCGTGAGTGTAACAGGTTTTGAGTTGGACTCTTGGCTCGTATCCGAAGAAGTGTCGCGCGTCGGGGAAAGTCGGTAATAAACTTATAATGGGTCTGCCCTCCAGATTTACAGCCCCATTTACCAGGTTTCTCTCGTCTTTCTCATTGGCTCGACCCGCGTTCTTGACTCTTGTTCCACGTTCGTTTCTTTTTTTCTTTTCCCGAATGTAGAAACGCCGGCCATGTCGGGAGGAGGAAAGAAGCCGAAGAGAAAAGAGCCGCGCCGAAAAGTCGACGGGGGGGCGTCGACCCGCGTGCTCCATTTTCATATCCCATGCGCGGCTTGATACAAAAAGCGATGAATTACGATTTACGGCGGTACCGTAAGCTTTCCAGGATACTCTTTGGATTCTACCAAAGTTCAAGTCGCAGAGAAGACGTTGGTGGCTCGGCCTATCTGCTCGACCGATCTGCACAGTGGAAGTTGAGATATGTTCGCGCACGCGTATATGTATATATATATATATATATATGAGAAAGAGAGAGAAGTCTCTACCTTTTTCCTGCATCCAGTGGTGCGCTGCGTCTCTGTGAGAGAAAAAGAGAGTAACGGGGCGTCAGCGAAGGGCGCCCGAAATGGACGGGAAACGGCCGAGAGAGCGAGAACTTACCACCGAGGTGTCGAGAGTTAGTAGCTTGCTCCCAAGTGAGATTCCGAGATAAGATCATTTACGAATTAGCGAGAAGCCAAAGTCTTGGAGAAGCCTCGTCGAAATTCACGCTTCATTTAAATCCGCACGCATCGCAAAATTTTAAATGACAAACGAAAGATGAAGAATGTATTCGCTCTCGCTTTCCAAGTGGTTAAATAAGCAAATTTAAACGACTTTGCTTATTTTCTTAAAAACCGAAGATTCTTTTTTTTTCTTTTTTTTTCTATTATCGCACAACGATTAATCGCGAAAGAGAGCTCCATGCGAAACGCAGAATCTCTGGTTTCTCGAGAAGACGGAGAACGTGAAGGAGAACCCGCTGGCGCATCGACGGTAAAAGCGAGAGCAGCCATCGTAGTCAATTTCTTGTTGGCTTCATGGCGAATCAGAGAGGCTGCGGAGAGAGCCCGAGCCTGATCGGGCCGCCTCATTGTTTTTCCATGGTGAGGCCCCGCTAGCGGGCTTTATGAGCGCTGAACGGGCGTCCCATGACGCTCAGGAGCGTAAGAAGCCGCCGTAGGGGACTTTCGCAAGTCACCCCGAGGAGGCCTTTGTTCCTTGTTTGCTCTATCTGCCGTTGCTTCTTGTAAGGGTTACAACGATGACTATGACGACAACAACGACGCCGACGACGACAACGAAGACGATGACGATCGAGAGGACGAGAAAAACCAAAATTGATTCTTCTTTGCTTCTCGCCTTTGCCGCTACCTGCTGCCTTCATTCTACCTATCGTCGTCGACACGATCATTACGTGCGCGAGGCGGACCGCTAATCCACCGGAAAGTTGGGCAACCCGGGCACAGCCTCGCCGATGAAGATGAATTATGACGTTGGGGGTCCGCGGTTGATTCCCTATTGGCGGCGCTCTCATCCCTCATTTCGCCGACTTCTCCACGCTCTCTCGTCCTTCCTTGTCCTGCTTGCGAATTCGATATCGTAATTATTACCCACACGTTGTAGTAGCAAAAGGATCTTCACGCTACTTGCCGTCGCGCTTTATGGCCGACTCATCTCATTATCTGTAGCATGCGAACATAACAAACGCTTTTTGACTGTCGATCGTCGAAGATTTGTGCATCTGTCTGATATTCGTAAATCGAACGAAGGTAAATCAATAAATCCTGCTCTCGAATTGTGTACGAATCTGTCGCTTCTTAGAAATTGCAATTGTACGTTAATTGCATATGCGCAAAATAGTGGAGTTGTTTAACAAGAATGGGGAACTTGTAGAAAGCCAAGAATAGGAACTGTCGGTCTCACACGCACACACACACACACGCACGTACGCACGTACACATACATGTATATAATGAAAACGGATTGTATATTGGAGAGAGAGGCTGAGGGAGAAACACGATTTTTCATTTTCGAATGGACGACGGCTGTGCGCCAGAGTCCTGCCGAGAGCCGGTAATCATCTTGTTCTCAACACCCTGCGAATAATATAAAAGGATCGAACTCGCGCTAATTAGATTGCCATCCGCTTATACACGATACGTCGTTATACGCGGTTATACCGGGCACGTGAAGGGAAGTGTTCCGATGCCACTGTAACGAATGGGCCGGGTTGTAAGGCGGACGAGTCAATGTTCCGAGGAAATTATCACTGTTCGAAAATTCGAAGCGGTTTTGGACCGCTGTCGTAACGATCCGGGCGTGAAAATCGAGGGAAACGAATGGATCGTACGGATTCTGTCACGCCTACGGGCCCTACGATTTCCCGGCTAATCAGCCTTACCAGACACTCCGCTCTGCGCGCGTCTTTGCGCGTGACACGTTTCATAAGTTGAAAGAAGAAACAAGAAAGAAAAAGTGAGTAGCAAGTAAATAGTAGGCCGACCAGGAAATTCGACGTACACAAAATTCATGAGGTGTTAGGCGCTCCGTGACCGTGGAAAATCGGATTTCGTCGGTCTTTAATGATTCCATCGATGACATCTTTGACAAAGGACACTTGTCACATATCCCATCACAAGGAAGATTAACCTTTCCGATTGAAGAAAAGTTTATGCTATTCAAATATTTTATAGCAATTCAGGATTACTACACGATTCGTACTTCTAAATTTCTCATGCTTCGTTATGCTATATTATCTCATGCCATGCTGAATTAAGACCGAGAACTATTTTACGAATTTAATTTACAACAAAACTCTTTATGGGAACAACATTTTTTTTCATTGTTAGCGAGCATTTTATTGTAGCCTTTAAGATTATATGGGCTGTAAATTCGTTCCCACTATTTGTAATTTATCGCGGTTGCATTCTACCGATTTTTATCTCGGCACAATTTATGACATTTGTGACCACGCGATAGATTTGTCGTGTTCGGTCTCGCGATGGAGGCTCGGGTATTTCCTGTTTCGATTGGTCGACCGACCGAAGGACCATGTACAGGCTTCTCGGAAATCGGTCGCACCGCCAAAAGATGTTCGATCGGTTAGGCGATCGTCGACTACGGAATCTCACCACGAATTTAATTAGGTGTGGGACAAAGTTTCTCCTACACGGCTTTACGGCTGAAGCGTTAAAATATATTGACATGCTAATCGTTCGGATCCTCGAGATTGTTTTGCGACTTTTCAAACGTTACGATGTGAAAAGTCCCATTTTACGCTTCATTATGAATCTATTCCTGTTTATACAGAATATATACTCTCTCGAAATCTAGCAATAGTAATATATATATATAACAGTACAATAATAAATTATTCTATAAGATCAACAATATTGAAATATTTAAACAGTTATAAGTGAACTTTAGACCGATAAGAATAAATTAAATAAAAAGGAAGAATCTTAGGATTGATTAAAGAGTAGTTTATAGAGCCGAAAAACAAATATTTGCAAATTTACATGTGAACATTGTCAAATACCAAGATTTGTTTTTATCAAAAATAGAATTTTTTCTCTTATTTGAAATATTTAACTTGCACAAAGGCAAAACTCATTTTAAATAATTCTATGCTTATATTCTTATATTCTTAAATTATCTGTTTTTAATTATTAGATGCGGTAGTAAAAAACAAAAGTGATATTACTTTATATTACTGTAATTGCGTTCAACATTTCAGAAATTTCCGAAAAAGTCGGACGAAGTTGACGAATCGTAGGGGATACTGATTAGATGTAATATCTACAACGGAAGCGATGAATTGCGTGCCAGGGCGGATCTGTCGGCTTTACTGGTGGAAGAGAAGCTGCCATTTCGAGCCTGACTTGCGACGTCTCACGGCAGGGGAAGAGCTAAACGTCGTATGAAAAAAAGACCGAAAGGCAGGTAAATCCCGGCAAATGACAGGATCCATCCGGCTAATGTCCCGTCTTTGTGTCATTCATCGCTCGAACTCCACTGTGAACATTCGCAAATTGTACGAATTTCTTTTAGAAATTTTCCATTATGAAACTTGGGAAATTTGCAGAATAAAATTTTATCAATCTTGTTTGTTGCAAAATCCTTACAGATATTGCATATATATATATATATATATATATATATATATATATATAGAGAGAGAGAGAGAGAGAGAGGCAGAGAGAGAAACAGAGTTATCAATTGCACTCTTTTGAGAGTATATAATATATTTTCCTTGAGATAGTAGAACCTCTGCTTATTGATTAAAGTTTTCGTCATCATCATGATCAGTCATTATTATTAGTCATTTATTTAAAGCATTTTGTGTAGAATTTTGACCTTGTCATGGCCATAATCTCTTCGAAACGTTTTTCAAGATTTTAAGGAAAGAAGTAACTCTGTGTTATACGGTCCTTATTATCTGGAAAAATCTCCAGAATGCGCAACTTCCCTCGCACCACACCACCTCCAATTCACGCTGCTGATTCTCAAATGTTCAGCTTCTCTTCAGCGGGTCGTAACAAGCCGCACTTCTCTGTATATCCCGGAGCGGCGAAATGGGCCTAATGAAGACATCTCGGTAACTCGGCAGAAAGAGGGAAGGCCTCTCCGGTCTATCCCAAGGTCCCAAATCACCTGCACAATGGCCGACTTCGCATCCATTGTCGGGACAGGGCCGCGACTGGATCGGCTCTGCCTATAATGGCAGGCAGCATTGGTACCCAGCATTGTGCCGCTTCCTGAAAAGAGGATAGAATCCGTTGTGATCTATGGGTTACAGGATCTCGTGCTATCAAGCGGACCCTAAAGAGCGGCTCCCAATACAGAAAGACTGTCTCGGCCGTCATCTTCACCCTCACTGAAACTACCCGTCCGGCCGTCAATACCAATCGTTCGTGGAACCAATCGCGTGAAAAGGATTTCACAGAAAATTCGAATACGAAGAACGTTGTCGGTTTACGGCTATTCGGACCGTTTAATGCAAACATACCGCAATGAGTAGTAGTCTGTCTTTTTCAAATACTTTTACTTTAAAAAAAAAATCATGCGTAACTTAGATGTAAATAGATCTTACGGATGCATTTCGATATATGATTATTGTTTAATCGTGTAATTTAGAATGACATTTATAATTTGTATATTACTCTCTCCCTTTCGAGTTGGACGAAAAGTTTTAGATTTCTTTATTTTTCATAATTTTGATAAGAGCCAAATTTTGTTTCATTAATTTATATATTTAAAAGAGAAACAGAGACACGGAGAGAAAATATTGCAATCATTATTGTAAACTAATGTTTCTTTAAGTTATTTAGTATTTGATACATTAAGGATATTTATTTAAATGTCAATTTAACATTAGTTTTATGCATTCTTAATAGAATCCTTTTCAGTTCTAATATTCTATGATGAAGCTCGATGCGTCACTTTGACGGATGAATAAGCATAGTAACGAAACGGCAGGCCAAGATGATCATTATGAGTAGTTGATGGGCATGATCACGCCTGGTTTACAAACTATATGACTATCATGGGGGAAGACTATAATGGAGCGGTTGCGACCGCCTCAAAGATTCGTCCGCGTCGTTGTAGTTTCGTCGGAAATACGTAATAAATCCAGGTGGTAAATATATCGATGGTGAAGTCACGTGGTGCGTGATAGGTGGTAACGTGACTGGATGACCTGATGATTTGTAACTGGTAGCCTGCCGTTTTCTAACTAATCCCACAAAGCGAGCCGACCATAGAAATTTCTGGACAATTTATTCTATAGCATGCGATGTGTAAAAAGGACATCGTTTATACGACCGGTGTGACGACATTGTGACCAACTACTCATGGAATCCATGAACTAAGTGAAGAAACTTGAAGCATAAATATGTACAGATTAAAATATAGTACTGTTGACCAATGTATAATCGTTCACAATTGTTTAGATAATATTCTTTCAGTAAATTAATCCAAAAGAAATAGTTTTCAAAGTGCTTCAAAACGTTTAAAGAAAAAAATTGATGCGTTTAATGGATAAACACTGTTAAACATCTAAGGGGCAGTGTTAATCCAATCCTTTGAGTTAAATAACATTTTGTTATTTTTAATTTTCATATATCAAAATGTAAATCATTTCTGTAATTAGTTCATTACAAACAACATTTATATTAATAAGCACTTCGTAAGTAACAAAAATTAAATTTGGGTTAAATTTAATAAATTTTTGTAAGTTAAATTGTCAAAAAAACTTTTATAGAAATAATTAACAGCTTAAACATTGGATATAATTTTGGATTTATAACATTATAAATTTAACAGTGAAGTCTTTTTTCTCCTTAAAGATAGAAGTAATTTAACAAATAAAAAATCACTTCGCGAAGTATGATGTATGCAAAGGCATAAAAGCCAAAGCGAACGCCACCCGCGAAATCGACGTTCATTTATATACCGCTCGCGGATGCGTCCCTGGCGTTAGCGCCGTCTCCGTCTTCACCATTGCCTTCATCCTCTTCGCCATTCCTTCTTTTTTACTCCTTCGCCATCTCTCTCTTCCTCGCATCTCAATCTAGACCCCTCATCATGTTTTAATTTCACGGCCAGCTTTCCCCTCGCTCTGGATCCCTTCCGCGCTGCCAGCAGCCGGCGGTACCAGATAGAGAGATGGAAAGCAAGGACGAAAGAGAGAGAGAGAGAGAGAGAGAGAGAGAGAGAGAGAGAGAGAGAAAAAGATGGAGAACGAACTCTCGTTGGTAACGAAGACGGGATGTACAGAGATATAGGCGCAAGGAAGATAGGATATTTAGCCCCACCGATGGAAGATTCACATCCAGGGAGGCGTCACCCTGATCTCCCTTCCTTACCGACAGAGAAACTCCCTTTATCCAAACGTCGATGACTCGGAAGTGGCGGGATAAGGTGTCTTGAAGAGGGGGACGAATAATCCGAATGGTAACAGTGGCTAGTCCACACACGCCGCGAAAAGTTTACCCCCACTATTTCACCTTTACAATGTGCTCCTATTGCATTGCTCGTATACATTTTCTTTTGGTCATTTAAAGGGCTGTAGGTAATAAAATGGCGTAAAAAGACCACTCTGACAGTCAAGATGAGACGATGTAAAATTTTCGATTAATCTGCAAATTGACGCGTTGACCTTGACGACTTATTTAAACAGCATTCTTCCTATTTTATTACAATATGCACAGTCTTCGTCAATTTTTACGTGATTATACGAACACGTGCGCGACTGAGCGAGGGGGAAATGTCTGTTTTAATCTCCTTTATAAAACGAATTTCTCGCTTTTAGCACGCAAGTCAGTTTTAAAACATCGAGAAAGGCATGAAATTTGAAAAAATATTATTATCTATAGTAATTTTCAATATTTCTCTAATATTTCCGATTTAATGATTTCTCTACATACGATTTTTAATCTCTAGATATATAAAAAAAAGTTTTTAAGCAATATTTATTTTTCTATGATATTTTTTAAATCTACAGAGTTTTCTATAAAATGTCTTTTTGTAAGTAATTTCTTAAAAAAACTTTAAGGCTCTATTTTACAATAGTGTTCAATTTGAAAATTATCGAAATTTTTCTTCTTTTATTGAGTTTGTGTAATATTTATTAGAAAGTCATATTTTCAAGGGTTACATTAATAAACGCAAAAATTAATTAGTATTCTTGTTTAAACTGTCAACCTTAGAAAACATATATTTCAATAAATCGTCCTTTTATACCTAAAAACTTGTGAAATAGGATAATATGATAAATTACATTTCCTTTACTATGTTTTGACGAATCGAAAAATGCACACGGAAAGAACGGTTTTGATAAAGCATTTAAAAATTTAGTTAGATACAAATCTGAAAATAATTTTTTTGGACTACCAGCGTAAGGAGAAATGCTGCAAAAAATGTTGATATTCCAGCAATCAGTTTGTATGTTCTACATAATTATTTTGATTCAACAAAATTATTTTTAGATTTTTAAATACTTTAGTAAAGCCATTCACTCCATGTATAACTCCAGCACCTATCACAGAGATTCTTAACGCAGAGCGATTATCTCACGACAACGTGTCGCAAAGGCTTCACGGTTGACGGACTTTGTGAGAATGATGAATAATAAGTGCTCGAGCTAAAAATTAAATCATTTCAGGTTATTGCACAATAAAGAATTTTTTTGTCATTATTTTCTTATTGTTTTATAATTGAAAGAGCACGCCATTTGTACTTTTCCGAATTATTTTATTCATATGCTGATGAAGTGTAATATTTTATTCAAGTGTTACGTAAACTGTATCGAATTCAAGGCTTTTATGATTTATCGATTTGAAATATCTAATTAATTTTTTTTAAATTCTCCTTTTTAAATGAACATATATAATTTTATGGATGTATAAATAAATAATATTTCCAATAAAATTTGACATACTGGCTGCAAAAAACAGGTAGTTAACCGAGAGAGCGTTGAATTGCTTTTGCGGTTACCATGCTTGACAGAATCCTAATAAGGATCGGTAGCATAAATAAAGTCATTTGCGGTAGGTATCATGCTCATAAGTTTTTGTTCAATCAATTCTTCCGGTGATTAATGAGAAATGAATTTTTCACGGCGATGAATATAATATAAGTGCACGCAACTTTTCTCATTCAATTTTTCTAATAAAAATATAATATCGCGCAACATTTCTACATTATTCATAATCACGTAATGAGACGCAATCTCTTTACAATGTTTTTGCAACTTTTCTAGATTATATGGATCGTAGCTTAGAGTGATCGTTAGTGGCAATCGCGTGACAATTCCATCGATTATAAGCTATAAGTTAAACTGCTATACTCTATCGTCCACTAAAGCTGATGCTCGGAAACAGGTTTCACATAAACTGCATTATTTTCCCGGTGAATTCACGATTACCACGGCTAGTGTCCTAATAAGGAGTCCTAATAAGGAGTCGAGGGTATAAATAAAGTCATTTGTGGCAGTTGCCGTCCTGCCCTTCGTCGGAGCCCTTCGACGAATCGGGCCTTTCGTCGCGTATGAGAACGTAGAAATCGCAACCAAGGATCGCGTCTCGAATGGGACTCTGGAGGATCGGTTTGTTTTGCGGATTAGGCTCATGTTTTAGTCGCGGCCCGCGACGAATCACGAAACGCGGACCGGCGCACGTCGCCGCTTTTTCTCCCAGCGAGAGTCGTCAGGCCGTCGACTCTCAATACCACGACGGGTGAGCCGCGAAGGGCTACGTCCGAAATTGCTTCCATAAATGTTCAGCGCACATAATCGAATTTGCGAAACAATAAACTCGCTGATTGGAAATTAATCAAGTCACACCGTTTACGAGTTTACGGTGAGCTGTAGAAACGTTCTCGCCATCGACGAATGTGTAGACTGAGATTAGGTTGAGACATCAAAACTTATATGTATAACGTTAAAAATTTATTATAAGAATAAATAATTAGTTTATATTATCTATGAGATTTACATAATGTTTTAATATATAAAAACGTTTTAGTAACTTATATCGATGAATGCCTATCGTATAATAAATGGTAGTTATCTACGCACAATGGTTATAGATTAATTTGCTTTATAGCATTCGGTTAATTGTATTTTATCATTGAACGCCTTTATTTCTCTTTATTTTCAATTGTTCTCTATTTTTTATATTCTTTGTGCTACAACATCTTTCTCTTTTCCAAACTTGCTTTCAATTTATAACAGTTAATTCCAATAAAATTCAGAGAATCTTTTCAGGATATTCTATATATTACAAAACTTGAAAGTTTACGCAAATAGATAGAAATTGGAAAAAAAGTTGGTTAAAATAGATAATTCACGCAGTAGATAAAATCTCAGTAATGGACCTCGCGATTACAATATAATAATACATAAAACGCGATTAATATATCTCGTTAAAATATTGTTAATTATTAGTTTATTATTAATTATTGTTAATTATAGATTTAGCTTACGTACTTAAGTTGATTATAATTTCTCGAGTATGACAAACAGGTACGTTTAAGACATGCCGTTATATTATTGACTTTTATTAAAAGTACGTATAAGTATACATGCGCTAAATGTGTACAAAATTACAATAGCATTATGTAGAAGAGGTTCCGGTGGAGAGTATGTACAACAGGGTAATACATCTATATTTATACGTATATCTATGCATATATGTATATGTATAAGGAAAGGTTTATTTTTTGGATGTAAGGAGGACAAAATTAGTAAAGAAACTTAAGATATATGAGAGCATCGTCATCTTTGTTTCTTAAACCGGCAGAATTTAATCCGTTTCGTATAATCTTTCGATTAAGCGTGGGCTTACAAGAAGATCTCGATATGTGATACACCTGTCCTTCGTTACCTCCGCTTACGCTATTTATTGAGCTAATAAGTAAATATATCGCGAACTTTAACGCATCTCGTTTGCTCTTTCTCGAGTTTGATATATAGCGACGTTGCCGCGGCTTCGTCCCGAATGTGAACTGGAAGACGTGTATCTCTCGAATGTAAAATGTTAAAATGCAATTATCTTTTGCAGTTTTTCAAATATATTTGTAAATTAATTGTAAGTGCTAAATTTGTTTACGTTAAAGTTACCGTTAAGAAAGTAGCGTTTGTCTGACATAAATACATTATAAAGACTACAAATGTGTAGTGTAAAAATATTCTCTATAATATAAGACAATTTACATTCTAGCAAAATTTACATTCGAGCAAATATTAAAACGACACTTATTATCGATCTCGAGCGCAAGTTCGATCGCTCCGAAATAGCCTTGCAACGAAGCCGGGCAACATGACATGACTTGTCGGAGAATAGACTAAACAAACAGTAACAACAAAAATAAAAAAAATTTTCTCTTTTCGTGATCAATGTAAGCATCGAGCTATTCCGTCGTGCTGTCGGCACGACGGATTGGCGCCATCCATTATTTATGACACTGTTGCACCATGCTTGCACGTGCACGGTAAGCTGTGCGATGATCGAAATATTAATTCTAAATGAATCTACATAAACACTTGTAATATTTTTCTAATTCTATGGTCTGTAAAAAGATATTTTTTAATATTCTTAATATTCTCTTGGCATTCCATTTGAAATAATTAATCAGTCAAATCTTTGTATTAAAATTCGTTAACTAATAAAGTATCCTAATATTTCGATCAGCTGCAGCGATGAGTTGCTCGTGAAAATAATAGGGAAGGCAACAAAAAAAGCTTCTTAGAAGTCTTCCCTATTTCATTGGTTGTATTTTGGCACGGGGTTGATTGTGAGTCACGCGCTCTTATCTTTCGTCTTGAGGCGAAATTACGCGCAGAATTTTAATTTGAAAAGTATTCGCCCATTAAATATTAAATTTAGAAGAATTCTTCCTATGAGAAAACGTCATCAATTTTTATGAATATCAAGCGCTATAAAATCATTAATAAACATATAATAAATAAATTTACCATAACAGAAATAGAAAAGAAACAACATAACAATCGCGATGAATAAATAAATCATATCATAAAATATGTTGCTTCGCCTGTTTTGATAGCAGCAGATTTCAATTATTTCGACATACAATGATTCATAAATCTACAGAGAATACCGTCCAGCGGCTTCATTCGCAATCAATCTTCCCATACGTCGTGACTCGTTCTCGTTTGAGCGTCTATAGCGAATCGAAATTAGATTCCCGATCGCTAGTCTGTGAAAAGTATCAATTAATAAAACCGAAATAGTAATTTCAGTAGAATATTAAATATTAGTGATACATAAAAAAAAATTGGATATAAATTCGTAAGACACACTATCTTACCCTATCCGGACTGTATAATGGCGGATGTTGCGCCGGAAGTCTCAGTGTGCTTCCTAAATCGCGCTCAGCCATGGTATGACCCTCACTGGCGCTGTCTCTGGTGTCCCTATTATCTCTAGTGTCTTTGCTGTTTCTTCGGGCGGCGGCGACTTTTGTCGGCGGTTGGATCGTCGTTTCACCGCATGATCTCGCTAAAGTAGAACCAGCCTCGCCTAGATCCAATCTAAGAAGCTTTGTCGGAGCTTGGATAGTTGTCTCGCCGCACGAGCGAGCTAGAGTCGAATCGAGATCAACCTGAAGATCTCCGCTCCTTAGTACCTTCGTCGCTGTTTCCACAGTGGTTTCACCACATGAACGTGCCAAGGTAGATTCAGCATCTACAGTACGGGTCACCGTCGCCGATACCTGTCAATAATTAAAACTCTACTTTTTGAACACTTTCTAAACTTAGATTGAGATAAAAATAGAACCGTAAACCAGCTTTACCTGAAAACCAGCACTCACAAGAGCACCCGTGGGTGTCATCGGGTTTCTTGCGCCTTGCAAATCAGTTTCCTTGCAATCTTTCGCGCTAGATATACTTTGTTTCCTATTGGCAGGAGAGCTCGTGCCATTGTCGAGATAGTTTATAAGTTTATGTTCCTCGGCAGCAAATGTACTCATGACGGTTTTATTGTAATTTTGTGGCGATTGCGGTGCCGATCGATATTTCGCGCGTGGAATCATAACTGTCAAGGAACGATCACGTTGATCGTCGTTGACTGGTATCGCTATAGAATAATTAAATTTATTAAATTAAATTGATTGAATTTATAGACATAGCACAACTTTAACGTGTTATATTTGTAATCAACATTGTACAAACGTTATATGTTATACGTTATATAAATTATAAAAATCCTGACTATAAAAGAGGTTGTTTGAAATATAATACATAAATAAGAAGTGACAATAGTAAAACGTACCGGCTGGCACCATAGTAGCTTTTCTGGGAGGATAACGAGGTTTCGCGCTGATCTTACGAACTGGTCGTTTGTTTGGCGGCAAGGGAGCTATCATTTGCGGCGGCGGTGGCAAAACATGCGGTACGTGATGCGGTATTGCTAAGTCAGTGACGCTACCCTCGCTGCTGGTATCACCACCTGTTCCAGGGATCATAGCTCGTCTGTCACCGGTCTTCCGATTACGTCCTGGGCGACGGAAGCACGTCATTCCCATACAGATTGCTAAGAGACCCAGCAAGATCGCGCCGGTTGTCACTAGAGCTATCAATAAGACTGCAAATATATGGAAATATAATTGTTTAAGAGTTCCGTTTTATATAATATTGGTTTAGTTCTTTGATTTAATTGCAAAATTATTATATTTCATAAGAGATGCTTTTTTCACCTTTGAGATTAACTTGACATCGTTGACCGCTGTGCCAAGGGAAGCACTCGCATACTTCTTGACCGAGAGAATTGGTAACGCAATGACCTTTGTTATTGCAGCCCGCGCATCCTAGTGGCGCTTGCGAGCATACCCTTCCGGGATATGTTGGATTTTCTGATAAATCAGCCCAGCCTTCTCTACAAGAACATTGATAGGATCCTCGTAAATTGAAGCATGCTGCGTGGGGTGAACAATCATGATGCGGACCAGTTTCCTTGGAAGCGCATTCATCAAAATCGGTCGCCTCGATCTGAATTAGATTGAAGAATTAAATATTAACAATCCATAATTATAACGATTGCCTTGAACTTTTGTAGTTATTAATTTATATTGATTCAACTTACCGAATCAAGGTTCTTTGAAGCATAGACCTCTGTGCCACCTAAACTGTAATTGCTTCCAACTAAGTATTTCCGAAGGACTTCTTTCAATCTGGTTTCATTAGCATTATCGCTTAGTTGTACGTGAAACTCGACTTTTGTAGGATCCGGAATGAATCCAGCAATTTTGAGGCCTCTGTACACATCTCTCAAGTCACTCTGCATTAAAGTTCTATCTAAAGCTTCCTTCGTCGGAACTATCAAACGTTTGTAAGTTGCCGATGTAGAATCGTTTAAGGCAGTATCATACGCCACGAATTCATGGCCGATGCGATCCAGACCAACGCGCAGCGTATATGTGTAAGTTGCTAAAAATTATTACGCGTTAACTTAGACGTATTAAATCGAGCAATAAGTATATTTGCAAGCAAAGTATATCAATAAAAAATAGATACGGATTCATCTGAGAGACTTACGTTTGCAAGGCCGATCCGGGAACATTCTCGCAAATCCTGGTCGACAGACGCATCTCATCTCAGTTCCTACTTCGGCACATATTTCAGATTTGGATGATTTACACTCCGGTATGCATTGATTCGTTGGTGTTAAAGGTACTATCGGCGCACCAAGTATTCCACCCGTCAGTACTCTATGGATTTCATTACCCATTAGATCTTGCTCATCGCGAGAAACTTCCTCCCCGTATTCAGCCTCCACCTAAAATTTAAGCAAAACATGCCCGCCTAAGTAAAAATTATTTCTTAGTTATTTATATTTAATAATTTTTGGTAATTATTTGATAAGAAAATATCAACTTCAGAAAAATAAAAAAAAATAAATTTCTTAAGTAAAACACGCCGATGAGAAGCTTCTGTTTATTGTGACGAATAGTATTTATTTCATAAATCAGTACCTCTTCTCCCCCAGGCACAGGTGGTTTCTGATCGCTCATCACGACAAATATGGAGTCATTATCTGCTATATTATTATACGTTGAAGGTACCCTGGTAACAATCGGTTGTAAGATTGTCGAAGTTACCGTAGACACTACGCTTGTCGGACGCAGCAGTGTTTCCGTCACAGTCTCGACAGTCGTCGTGGTCATCGTGTGCGTAAGTAAAAGCGTCCTCGTCGTTGGCGGCGAACCCAACACCGATGTTTTAGTTCTCGTCACCGTTGAAGTTTTGAATCTTGTCACCTAATTTACGATCATTAATATGCAATTAGTACGGTTATGTATCACTAATCAGTATAATATAATCAATGCGATTATTCAAGAAATAAACAATTATTTAAATTTATATCAAGATGCTCATACCTCTTTTGGTTTCGTGTGAATAGTAGCATTGGATTGATTCTTGGCGATGGTACTGGTTGCCTTTACAATATTCTTTGTAAACTGCGTATCCGAATTGCTTATCTCGGGACGCGTTTTATTGCCCGGTGTTGGTATTAATGTATTGGTTACTTTACTGATCGAACTGTCGACTCTAGTCACAATTATGGATGACTCTTTATTCGCCGTTTTATTCACGATGCTGTATTCAATTATTTGTGGTTTTTGTGTCTTGATATTCGATACCGTCGAATATTGTTTCTTTTCCGTTTCTATGATGAATGTTAAAGATTCGGTAGGTTCTAATCTTGTCGACGGTAGGATGCTTTCGCGGCTAGATTCTAAGAATACCGAATGCTCGGGTCGCTTAACAGGATTTGGTGGAATATCCAAAACGTATGACCCTGTCGGATCGACATCACGATGAATTGTCGACGATTTACTCGGCTGAATATGATCTATTTGAGGTGGTCGCAGTTTTGTCGGTATTACTATATTTGTCGTCAACGTCGATGTCGATTGTATGGCGATTCTAAAATGCAACAATTTAATTATTATAATTTGTTTTAACAAAGATTTTATTTAAAATAATTTTAAATAATTTACGTACCTAGACACATGTCTTGTATCAAACGGTCGCACGGTGTAAATGCTGACATGTTCACTCATTCGCGTTTCTACAGGTCTGAGGATATCGGCAACGTCAACTACGACTGGTAGATCAACAGTACCATGAATAATTGGGATTTTTGATTCAATATCCTGGATTACTGGGATATGAGACGTCGCGACGGCAGTGGCTATCTGTATGGAACCGGAAACTGCGACAGCTGGTCTTATAGTAGCGATCTCGAGCGGTCTCGTAGTTGTTAATACTGGTGGCGGTGGCACCATGTCCTAAAGTATAACAAATATATCGTTAAATTATGTGACTGTTTTGTGAAAATTTTTCTCAGAGTTTTTCATATAAATTGGAACACTTTTCAGAAATATTAAGAAAGTCTATATCCTTTTTTAGAATTTTTTATATATACATAAATTCTGAAATATTCTAAAATTTTACTTTGATTTCCGATATAATTGACTCGCAGCGCACTACACGAAATGAAGAATACGTAATTTATATTTATAATGAGTTTTGTAATACCATATATATTTTTGGTTTATAGCGATGTTTGAATATTACCGCAACGTTGAAAATGACTCGAGCGGAATCGAAACGTTTGTTTTTGTCCTTTGTAATTATTATATGAATTTTATGATTTGATTTAAATTAAAATTCTTTGCTACATTACTGACTCTTTACCCTTCTTTTGTCCATATTGTTTTATACTTACAGAGCCTTATTATTATTTATTAATTCTAAAATTTCTTATTCTATCATTTTTTTTTAAATATTTTGAACATCAAATTTATTGAAATTTAAATCTAATGAAAAATTTAAAAAATTAAAACTATTTCTTAAAAATTAGAATTATTTCAGAAATCACATATATGAAGAATTCTAGAAAAGATATAGACTTTTTCGACACTTTTGAAATATTTTAATTTATATAAAAAATTCAGAGAAATTTTCTAAAAAGTTATAAAATTAATCAGAAATTTTGAAATTTACATAAATATTTGGAAAAATTATATGAAAAATTTTCACCAACGTACGAATTGCAAATCAAATATTTTGAAGTTTTACCTGCGACAGTAATTCTACGAGGAAAGGTCTTATAAGTGACGGTCTTGGGCTGGGTGGAACCATATTTGTGTTAGGCGGTGCAATCGTTGTCGATTCTTTTAAAGGTATATATTTTGGCGGCTTCAAACCTGATTCGTCAGTTGTCATTAAGGCGAATCTATCGTCTACGGGTATATGAGTGGTAGTGATATCTACCGGTGGTGGTGACAACCCGAGCACGTCGCTTGACGGCGGTGGCGGTGGTTTAAGTCCTTCTTGCTCTTTTTTCTTAGATTGGTTTGATCCGATCCCCCCGTTTAGAGGTGGTGGCATCATATTTCTAGAGGGAACATCCTTGATTTTATCCTGCTCACTTTGAGAATCCGAGGAAGCAAAGTTCGTCTGGTAGGCTGTTTCCAAAGTTTCATCGTTCTTTTTATTTTGTGGTAAATTATGTTTCGTGACTAGCATGCTGGGCGGTCGCTCGGTTTGCGTCTTACTGTCTACCTCTTCGCCCATAGCCTCGACCGACATGGAGAACTTGACATTCGGACGACCATGCGTTTCCAGTCCCGCAGTACCGCTCGAAATAATTACCGGCTCCGGTACTTGAGGTTTCGGTTTTGTCAGAATATGAGGATATTCCGGATGCACTCTCGTGAACGTTCCATGTTCTGGTCGAACGATACTCGGACGTTTATTGCCGATTATAATCGGACGAGATGTAGTGCTATTTTTATTTTCAACTGTTTTTTGTTGAGACTTCACAATATCGGGGATTGCTACATCCGCGTCCCAATTCTGTAGATTATGATTTATTTTTATTCCATGATTCAATGTTTGATTGACAAAAATTTCCGCATTATTCGGTTTGACGTTCTCCGGACGTCTTATAGAGTAATCGGGTCTAACTTCTAATTTAATCGGTGGTTTTGTTAATATCTCTGGTTTAATCCGAGTTAGACTGGGTCTAGAATCAGGCCTAATTGGTCTAGAGAACGGCCTTCCAGGTCTATCTATCTCAACGCCGAATTGAGGTATAATCGCTGGTGGCTTTAGATCGATGGTATCGTCGCGTTCGAGTGAGTTTAACGTCGTGACTTGTCCACTTTGCGTCTTAGTCGTAACTGGTCTTGCATTTTCATTATGAGGCGCGGGTATACCGTGAACTATTTCATAATCGGGTTTATAGCCTTCTTTATATCCGTAAGAAATAGTCGGATCAACGTGACCATTATAAACACCGAAAGGTTTGCCTTGTACTACGGGCAATTCGTAAGGTCTCGTATTGTAGAGATCGGTACCATGAGGTCCTTGCAAAAGTGGCTTCCCATCCGTTTCGCGTTCGTAAATTACGTCTTGTTCTTGCTCGACTTCTAGCGGTTTGCCTACAACCGTATTGATGGAAATAACTGGTCCATATAAAGTTTGTGATGTCAAAGTTTGATTGATGCTTTGAGAATTTGTTATGTCTTTTTTATTCTGACCATCGGTTTCTTGGCTTCTATTTCCTTTTCCATAATACTGATTCTGATAATTGATATACTCTGAGGCACCGATGTCAGAATCCAATTGTATCTGCTCTGTATGTGTATTAGTCTGCCATTTTTCAAGATGATCTGGCAATACATGCTGCATATTAGCGGATATTTGAGAATGCTTGTTTTCTTCCGATATCGGATTTGGATGTAAAGGATTGTGGTATTCTATTGCACCAGTGGGTACGTTATCGTTTTGCTTATTATCAGTTGGTAAATTCGGCGGCGGAACGTTACCTATGTTTGTCTTATCCGGATAAATATGCGGCCTATTTTGATTGTCAATTTGAAGAGTGAATATATTAGGAGTTATTCGAGTTGGTTCCTGATGAGGCTGAAGATTCATTGGTGGACGGTGCGATAACATAAAGGTGTTGTGCGTCTTTATTGGAGGTCTCTGTGGTCCCGAATACGTTGGTTTCCTAATTGGTGGATATCCAGTAGGTCGTTCTACGAAAACGTGTCTATCCAAGGGTCGATTAGTCGTTGGTCTTGGACGTGGTCTCGGTCGATTATTTAGAGCGAATCTAATCGGTTTCTTGTCGGATTTCCAATTGGTACCTAAGGTTATCTCATTTCCAGAATCTGGTTTTCCTAGGAATATATATCGATGTGGAACTTCAGTCGGCGTGACTTCCACACGCCTCGGCGGAGCTTGTTCCATCGGAGTTTGACCATTCGAAAAATGACCACGCACTGGTGGTTGGTGAACTGAATGTACGAGAGAATGGACAGACGGATGACTAGCAGGTTGCGGTCGAACATTTATTGTCTCCGGTTTGTGATGTACAAGAATTTCTGTATGAACGTGGCCTTGACCGGAACCTCCAGATCCATCAGGTCGTTTGATCAGATGAATCTCCGATGGTCTTTTATCGGGTCTTAATACAGACGCCTCTAGCGTTTCTAACGGTCTCTCGCGTACAGGTGGCAACAAAATATGCGGACGACTGGAAAAACCTGGTTTTGGTGAAGAAACCTTAAAGTTGGTAGATGGTGATGGAGGGACCATATAATGAGCTGGATTTTTCTCGCTTGAATATTGAGGTAACTCTTTAACCTAAACATATATAGTAGTATAAGAAACGGTGCTTTACGCGATGACACTAATAAAATTGATACACATACCTTTTGGATACCAATAAAACTTGGTCCAACTTCAGGTTCTGGGTAAGGAGATGGATCATCAAAATATTGGCCACTTATATGAGGTTCATTAGTATCTCCAAAAATCAGAGCTTGCGTTCCACCTTGAGGAATCACGACATTAGCTACTTGACTGGGTTGAATATTAACTAATAAAGGTTGCCCCGTTGATCTATCAATAACGTGTGGAACCTGATGGACTATCGGTTTGGTAGAAATCGGTTTTGACTCTGAGCTCTGTATAACGATAGAACTATCCGGCAATAGAGGATCTTTTTGTGCCCATAGCGGTCGTTTCTGTTCTTCCGAAGATAATATAACTGAAGTCGGATGTGGTTTTTCGATCGGTTTGTCCGGATGAATCTTGAAATAAATGATTATATGTTACGTACACACATACACACTGCATAAATAAATATATATAGTGCAAATGTACATAATAAATAAAACGTACTTCATCATGTCTTGCCGGTGGTGTTAAGGGATCTTTAGCGCTCCATGGTCTTCTATATTTCTCCGGATTCCACTCTGGAATTTTAGGGCTTACATTAGGATTTGCATACTGTTCTACGTTTGGTCTGTTAGGTGGTTTAAGTAAGGGATCATTCTGCAGGATATCCTGTTTCGATGCGATTCTCTTAGGCGGTGATGATTGAACGGCAAGCAACTTTTGAGGCTGCTTAGGAGCCGTTGGATGATTTGCATCGAGAGGAATGGAAACCGGTACTTTCAGATGTTCTTCGTAAACCTGATGTGCCGGTAAAATTTGTATTTGTGGATCTTGCGCAGTTTGTTGAATTTGTACATCGTCGTTATTCTCTAGCACCTCTAATACAGGATGCACAGGAATATTCGGTACCGGTAATGGTGGCGGTTTCATGCCAATGTGCTCTTCATTCTTCAGAAGCGTCTGTGGCGGTCTCGGCGCCATTTTGCCCGGTTTCCCTATGATAACATCGCTATTTGCGGTAATTATTTCACCCGGAGATATCGGTATACCGTCGGCAAGACTGCTGGTAACCTTGTGGCGCGTTTCGGCAATGTAATTATGATTGAGATTCGCTAGATGGGCAACTAGAAAAAACAATCATTTCATATTTGAAACATGCTAAATAAATATAACAAATAATTATTGTTAGTTTTTGATAAAAAAAAGAAAATCATTACCAATATGTTGGCTTTCAGCGGTTTCTATATCACCGTCAGCAAATTCTGCGACAGGTATGTAGATAGGCGATCGTTGTGTTGTGACTTCTTGAATCTCTGCGAGAGGTACGCTGTCGTTTCTACGAGTAGCCGCAGTTTTTCCTTGCAATAATCCGGCCATTGCTGTGATTACCGGCCCCAGAGCGGATAAACTATTTATTCCTAAAGAACCCAGACTAAGAAGAGGTTTGCTAACTGAACCATCGTCTCCGGATTGAGAATTCGGCCTTTTATTTTGTGATACATCGCTTAATATTGTAGTACCATTATTATCCTGTACAAAAGTTGCGCAAATCTCATTTACATATAAAAGATTCGCATAATTTGATATGTTTCAGAATGATAAATATTATTGTGGAAAACATTTTTTCTCATAATTTAGAAAAAGTTTGTAAATGAAATATACCTGTTTATCAATTGAATCTGCTAGCTTTATATCAGAGTTAGTGTCTTCCGATGAAGTCTCCGTTGACATTGTAGTTGTTGAATTGTTCGAGGGACCTTTCTCGTGGTTTTTTATTTCTGTAATAGAGGTTGATTGTGGGAGATCTGAGGTCGCAGTTGGCTCGATTTGATCTTCATCATCGAAGAAGATAATGGTCGAACCCGTGACGACGTTTTTCACTGGATCGGAATGATGCGCAGTCGTCAATAAGGCGTTCATATAACCGGCGTCTAATAAACTCGGAGCTATTGATTCCGTTACGACGTTTTCAACGATATGTGAACGAGACGTCACAGTTGTTGATGTTTCACCATCTGGACCAGCCTGTGTATGATAGGAGAAAGATTTTAAATGTTAAATTCATAACGTCTCAAATTAAATTTAATTTGAGTTATTTTTAATCATTTTTACAGGTCACCACTGTTCCTACTTAATATCGTCGTTAATTTAACTAAAACAATACAGTTAAACAATTTAACTCAATAAAATATATTAAATTTGATTCAAATTTAGTTTATTATTTACTAAATTTATATGTTAATATGGACATATTTACTTTGAAACTAACTAGAGAGGAATTGATTTACATTTTGGCATTCATGGAAATTAAAAATAACCAAATATTTACATTATAAAATTTTAGTATTATTTAATTCAAGAGAGATTGTCATTACTTTTTTGATATTTAACAGTGTATATAAGGCGTATTAAATACGAAGTATACCATATTTACCTGTAATAACGTTGTGAAATAAGTAAACGTGGTAAGGTATGTTTTAGTGGCGAAGATCTGTATAGGCTCCGGCGTAGGACTAACTGGAGCGGTTTTCATGGTTGTTTTTCGCACTGGCACTTTCTCCAATACCACGTCAGTCGATGTGGCCACGTTTGTGCGAACTACCGTGCTACCTTTCTCCAAAAATGTGTTGAAATACGTGTATGTGATGTAATATGTTTTAGTCATGTCCGTCACGCTACTATCGGTGTTATCTAAAGCAGTCAGGGTAGTTGTGACACTAGTTGGTCGCGGCGGAGGTGCTGATTCTGTTACTATTAGCTAAAAACAAAAATTGAAAAAAATATATAATGCCATAGTAAATACTAATATAGAATTTGCGGTAAGAAAATAAGCTAACCTGAGTAATCGTGTCGCTGATCGTCTCTATTTTCGTTCGACCTTCTTCCATAAACGTTTTTTCCAACACTGTAGTACTGAGGTATGTATTGGTTTCCGGTCGAGGAGCTTCTGATGGCTCGAGAATCATGTCTAGGTAATGTTGCGGCGCGGTAACCGTGTTCGTTATGACTCTTGTGCTACTTTCTAAGGCGTCATTCACATCCGGATGATCTGTGTTCAAAGTCAAATATGTATACGTCGTTTTAAATACTTCGGTGCGTAAAGTCGGGGATGCATCTAGAGTCACGGCTGCTGTTTCGGAGCCAGGTTTTCTGTGTCGTTCCTCTGTTGCTGTATTCGCTATCACCTAGAAGAAATAATAAAATTATTATACCAATGAAAATTTTTGTAAGTCGTTTCAAAAACTGATTATCGATTATGTCAAATCTGTTGTTTGCTGATATGAAAAAAAAGTGTGAAAAAGAGATTAAAACTCAAAGAGAGATTTAATATTGTAAATTTTTTTGTAATAATTTTCCTTCAGAGAGAAAGAGAGACTTAATGATCTTTTTAAAAAAACTTATTAGATCTTTTTAAAAAAATTACATTACAATTATAGACTATTAATACTATTTTATAATTAACAGAAAGTAAATTCTACACGTTGCAACCCTATCTATCTTCTTCACAGTAATACCTTTCTAAAGTAATTTATTTCTTACACATATTTTAAACAATTAAGTTGTAAATGAAATATTCCATATGGTTTAAAGTTGTTTATAAATTGTAAAAGGAAATAGAGAAAGTTTTTATTTGAAGAAATATGTACATATATTTATTATATTGTATATAAATATATTTATATACAACATAATATTATGTGTGTGTGTGTGTGTGTGTGTGTGTGTGTGTGTGTGTGCGCGCGTGCGCGTGTGTGTGCGCGCGCGCGCGCGCGTGTGTGTGTGTGTACATGAATACGTTTGCGTAAGCACCTGCTGCTCCGTTGAAACGGTAGTCGTTCCATCCTTGGTGATTGTGCTGAGGTACGTGAAAGTTGTTGTGCAAGTCTTCGTGACAAACTCGTTCGGTTTATCCTGCGGCAGGAGCATGACCACCGCTTCTGACAAGGTGAGGGTAGGTTGAGGATTTGAGTTTTCCCATCGTAGAGCCGGAGTTGGTCCAGCGACAATGACTTCTACGCCGTTTGACATTACGCGGGTCGCTAAATTAAATCTGCGCCCTTCTTCCTCATCCTTCGCCTCGTACTCTCCTATCGTTACGATATCATAAATAACGTATTGCATATATAAAAGAAGTTGCTTTTAATATCAATTTAATTACTGTTTATTCGAAGATATTGAAAAAAAAATATTGTAGCAATGCGAAAGATACTATCGGAAGATTATAGGCTTACCTATTGTGGTTTAAATCAACGATCAAATAATATCTGTATTAATGTACAAAGATTAAAAAGAATCATATACTCGGATTACAATCGAATATACGACAAATTTTTACAGAAAAAGATACAACTGCTAAAGTTATATAATTAATATAGGGGGGGGATTAATATTCATATGTATCGTACATTTTAAAAAACGCAAATTCAGGTATATACAGCGTCGTTTGTCCATATACAGTATTTACATTTCATACAGGGCTGTAATGTACAGGAAAAAATTTAGAATACCAAAAGCCAATTGACACAATATTTAACAGAGCATTTACATAGTCCAATAGTCCGTTTCGTACAAGTTTAACAGAATTCGCGTAATCAGGAAGTCTATAGCGAAAAAAAAGTTTAGTCTAAGGATTATATTACATACGGCGATCACCGTGTGCACTCAACGTTGAAATGGCCCGTTTCGCCATCTCGTTGACTTTTTTTAACAAGTTTACGCATCTCGATCAATATTATCTCGTTAAAACGTTATTTATATTTTATATATCGGTTTATTTCAACGTTTTTATGCACTTGTGCGATCGTCGTGAGAGAGAGGTCTCAGATGGGTAAAAGGTACTACTCACCGACAACGGGTACTGGATTATACACAGATGATACGAAGCCGGCTGACGACTCCACGGTAGGAGTGATAGTCACCGTGACGGGCACTGTCAACGTAAGTGTCGTCACTCTCGGTCGTACGGTCGTCGACGACGTCACTTTGGTCTCCAGTCCGTTAAGTTGCGTCACCACGTACGTATACGTCCTTAGTCGCGTCGACGTCACTACCGTCTCCGTATAATAAACGCTCGTACTGGGCTCCAACGCGAGATCCGACGTGGATTTAGTCTCTAGATTAATCGTGGCTGATTTCGACGGTAAGATCTCGGGGAAATCGAGGCGAGATAATGACAGGTAAAGATCATCCGCTAGTCCAGCCTCGATCTCCTCCGGCGTAATCTCGCTCGTGACTTTCGTCGCGGGGACTGTCTCGCGGGTGTAATTTGCGCTGAGAGGTATCACGCTGGGTATGTACGAATCATCAAAGTAATTGGACGTATCAGTGTCGCGTATCGATGACTTCGTAGTCTCAAGCGGTATAACGCTCTCGAAGTTCGGTGCGATTACGATAGTATCAGATGGAAGGACCGTTCCGATTAGAGAAATTTGGGTCGAATTAGAGTTAATTATATTCGGTTGGAGAGGTCGTACTGTTGGAATTTCTTCTGAGTTCTCGCTGATCGTTTCTGGCGTCACGCTACGTTCTGTAGTATCTTCAGCAGTTTCGGTTGATTCTTGCTCTTTACTTTCTTTACCGATCGTTGTCGTCTCGGTAACTGATGTAATTTCTTCCGTCGTGATGTTTTCTTTATCGGGAATGCTCGTAGATTCATCGGGCACGTTTAATGTAGTGATGTCCTCCATGAAAGTAGTTTGCTCTTCAAGAGTGGCAAGAGTGGTAGTAATTTGTTCTTTCGTTGCAAATTTATCGTCACCATCTTTATTAACAGTAAGTTCAGTGGTCGGTACATATTCATTTAATATAACAGTTTTTGTTGATATCTCTGTATTATTAATGTCTTCCAAAGCGATTGATTCCGTTATATTTATCGATGCATTATCAGTTCCTTCAGGCGCTTTTATTATTTGCTCTTCCGACGGTTCTGTTGATGTTTGGCTGATTGGTGTTGTCGTTACAGTAATATTGTCTGGTTGCATCTCAACATCACTCTTATTAGGTACAATATTATCTTCATCCTTAGGAGAAATTGTGAGATGCTCGTCTTTCATTAAAATCGTGACTTCGTTTGCATTTTCAGTCGTAGTAGTCGTGTCATCATTTTCGTATTCTTCATCTTCCTCGTCATTAGATGGAGGGAAAAAGAAATTGTCGGTAATAATCACTGGCATGTTTAATGTGCTTTCTTCGGATATAGCATAACTGCCATCCGACGATACAAGACTCGCTTCTTCATCTGGTTTGTTATCGATAAGATTTGGTGTCTCTTCGAGACTGGGTGTAACAGAATAATCTTTTTCTCTAATAACTTCACTCTCGTACTCTTTCTCATCTTCTTCGTCTGAATAGTCATCGTATTCGGAAGAAGGCGCGGTGAAGAATCCAGTAGTGATAATGGCAAGAGTCGATGTTGGAAATATCGGACGCACGGCGACCAATTTTCTTCTGGTTACTCTAACTTTATTTTGAGTTGATGTCGGCGTAGATTGAAGTTTTCTACGTCTAGTTATAGTTACTTTGTGTCTTCCAAAACCAGTAGGCTGGTAACTTCCATAGTCTGTCGGAATGTCAGTCGGATTAATCAAGTTTCCCGATCCAATAGTTCTGACACGTGTCACCACGATTCTTCGTGGTGTATGCGTGGTAGACATAGTGTACGCGATATCTTTGGTGCGAGGTGTCAAGGGTCTGCGCCTGACGACCGTAAACTTATGTTGTCTAGCAGTTCTGCTACGCACCACGGGTACTCGAATTCTAACACGCTTCCGTGGTGTTTCTTCAAAAGCTTCGTCATCTTCGTCAATCCTTCCATTGTTTATATAATCCTCGTTGGGCCATATATCATCAATATCTTCTCTCCTGCGATCAATATTCCTACTTCCATATTCCACCGATTCAGCGTAGAGATTACCTGCAAAGGCGACTGTTCCATTCGATTGTTCGAATCACATTTCGCCTTGTATTTAAGTTCACTCCGCGATCTAATAAAAATCTATATGATCAAGCAGAGTGCAACGATAAAGCCGTTCTCGGGTGTTGCTTTTGTGATGCATTGATTGATTGGAGTTAAATAACTGCCGTCTCGTGTTTGGTTTTTGTGTGCTCATTCGATTGAATTTCACCATATACATTTTGCGTTTGAATAACGTTATCGGGCGCTTGCACGACTTGTTTGTTTGTTGTAATGTTGTTGGCGAGACGGAAGAGTATCATGTCCAGTTTTGTCGTGTGGGCGCGCGTGCGGCGGCAGACCGAGGTTATGTTAGTAAAAGGAAATGAGGGACGACGCTCAAAGAGGATATTTTTAAGGAGGAAAGAGAAGAAGTTTAAGAGAGGTTGGGAGAGAACGAACTGAATACGGGACGGCCATTCTCACGAATGACTCTTGTTTCACCGAAGTCAATTACCCATGACCTTTCCTTTACGCATTAAGGAAAGGGATCCCGGCAGTCTCGGGATTTTCTATATTACATACGCAGCAACTTCGATTTTTATCGACGTTGCTCGGTTTTTTCCCACTATGACGTGCCCGAAGAAGCTGAACCGACGCTCTCCGGATGAAAGAAATTCAGAAAACTCGGTTAGCCTCCAGGGCGATTCTTAAGTGGGTTTCAATAAAATAATGGACATATAATATAAGGGCGAAAGAGAGACAGGAGGATGAGGAGCGGGAAAGGATTTTTGTATAACACAAAGGGGAATAAGATTAGGTATAGATGGACGTGGAAATATGCCGTCCGACGTCACCCACTACGCTCTCGAGACTTTGTGTTGGTGCGTGGTCGATAGGATCTTCGCTTCCTGCTAGAATGGCAACGGCCACCGGTCCAGCGTGCAACGATGGTGGTATGGAAGGTCGGACTTCGACGACTCTTTCCGAAGCGTCTCTTCGTCTTCTGGACGCGGTGACAGAATCGCCGACTTTCACAGTACTCAGAACAGTGCTAAATTCTCCGGGTCTGCGGCCGGAAACGTATAGCGTCACCACGCTAGATTCAGCTTTTGTAGAAGCCTTGGATTCTTTTTTCTTGTCATTCAATTTACCGCGTCCGCGTGATCTGGATGACTTTTGGTATTCTTCCGCGTCGTCCTCATAATACTCGTAGCTATCGTGCTTATAGTCGGAATCGGCCGGCTGATGTCTTCTCTCGACTTCTCCCGGTAAGGTGTTACTCTGCGTGAATGGAGCAGCCGCGAACAGAGGATCCAGTAACGGATTGGGATTTTGTGGTTGCGTCTGCGGTTGTTGGAGTAACAACAAGAGAGAATTTATGTTGGCCGCCGGTATCGCAGCCGTTGGAGTCACCACAACGGTGTCCGTTATGAATTCCGTTGCAGTAACGACGTTGGTCGAGGAGTCGACCAGAGTCGTCAGAATCTCCTTGCCGCGAAAGGTGAGGGGAATGATAGTGCTTCGATGTTTCGTTATTGTAGTGACGTAGGAGGTGGTACGTGTGTTATACTGCGTGGTGGGTGTGGTTTGGGATAACAAAGAATTCGGTTGACCTAATTGACCCAGAAGTAATTGTGAGAGAAGAATATTGGCAAGGGGAGCGTTGCCGGGCAAAGAAGGCTGTATCGTAGAAACTATGTTCTCCACGGAGAACACCGTCGTGGGTATAATAACCGATTGAGAGACGCGACGGCCACCGAGGCTTGCGAGGGTGTGCGAAATACGAGTAGTGGGTGTCTCGTGCAGCAAGAATCGTGTAATCTCGGCCTGGCCTTGATTATTGGTACCCGTCACTTCGCTAACGATCACTACGAGCGGCTTTCCGTCTCCAGCTGTTACCGTGCTATATTGAGAAGGTCCGAGAACTTCAGTGCTTGGTTGCTGCGTTATAATAGTTCGATGTTCTGTGACACCATTGTTCACCACAGGAATTGTTACTTCCGTTGGTACATAATGTGTTACAGTTATGGTGCCGTCGAAATTTGGATATATGGTAGGCGCTTCTCGGATATCTTCAAAGGTTCCTCTACCTCTTGTAGGAACTCTTCTATTTCCATTTCTTCCGTTTGATGATCTTGAGCGAGACGATGATATTCTTCGAGAATTCGTTGAAGATTCTGTCGGTTTGGAAGATCCGTTTCGTAATCTTGGTGGTCTCACTCTTCCGTTGTCAGGTTTACTAGTAGATCTACTATTCGTTCTGGAAGGAGAAGTCGGCCTCTTGTATCCCGATCTGTTAGAAGAGGTATCCTTTTCTCTTAATGTAAATTGTCTTCCATTGTTTGAGGCCGGAGACGGTTTTATTCTGACAGATCCATTTCTATTTCCAGTAGATTGTTTCGATCTGGTTGTAGGCTTACTTTGCTGCCTCGATAGCTCTGATGTTTCTGCCGTTTGATCGGAATTAAATAACTTTTGTGGTTGTGAAGACATTAAACTTCGCGCGCGATTATTATAACGAGCGGAAGGTTTCGGTGCTGTTTTTATAATGTCTTCTTTATTTACTATGGCGTCTAATGAATCGGATCTCTCTTCCGCTTTTGCAGAAGAGAATTGAGCGGGTCTACGGAAACGACTACTGTATGCTCTAAGCTGGCTAGCCTGACGTCGAATTCTTCTTGTTCTGGCTCCGAAAGGTCTAATTTGTACGACGGGTCCAACAGCTTTTCCGGAACGACGATTTACATTAGATCTTTTATCTTCATGTTCCGATCCTTCGTAATCATTGTCTGATATTTCTTCAACGGGATCGTCTTCCAAACCTTCGTTGCTTTCGTTTTGTTCCTCATTTGGCTCAGTCGATTCTTCAGTAGTTGCTTCTTGCTTCCTACCAAGAAATCCACGTGGTGGGAACAGACCTGTATTACTAGGTCGTATTCTCGTAGATACTGGAGGAGTTGCTCTGTTATTTGTTCGTCCATTGGTTATTCTAGGGACCGTTGGCGCGCTCGGTCTGTTTAAATTTCCCGATCGTCTCGAAGTAGTGGTCGTTGATGGTCTTGGAGTAGTTACTGATCTGCTGTTACTAGTTAAATTAATGGGTCTGCGGAATCTTAGGAGCGGATTCGTAGATCTTCTAGATGATTCTGTCGTAGTTTGTAGAGGAGTGGTATTAGTTTCACCGTCGACATATTCTGTAAATGGTGTTTCATCCGTTACGAGCGTAGTCGTAGTGAACTCATTGGCGTCGTTTTCTTGATCATCGTGTCTGATGGTAGGTTGCCCTCTCAATAACGTTGATGATGGTCTGATACCTGCACGGAATCTCGACGAAGCACCGGGAAATGCAGAACTTGAAGCGCGAGTTGCGATCCTAGCAGAGGATCCTCTTACAGACGTAGGACCGCGTCTGTTGCTTTGAAACACAGACGACGGAGTTATTCTGGGCGGTGCTCTACCTCGAGTACTGCCCGCTGGGAATGTCGAGCTTGAAGTAGTGGCGGATCCGCGTCTACCTGAAAATCTTCTGGAACCTGAGGGGGATAACGTCGAAGAGTACGGTCCGATTGGCGAAGTGACGCGACTCCGCGATGATGCGAACCTGTTACCCTTGCCAGCTAAAGTGGCAGTTATCGTCGGGGTTATATCCGTTCTGGTAATAGTCGTCGCGGCTTGCGCACCTTTGCGTTTCGGATTAAAAGTCGGCCTATTCCTGGAAGCGAACGGTCTAATAACTGGCGTGAAGGTTCTCTTTCTTGTCGAGAATGTCAATCGTGATTTCTTTTTAGAACTTTGCCCGTCGTCGTCTTCCTCGTCCTCTTCGTCATCTTCTTCATTTTGGCCGGAGTCCTCATCTTGATCGGAAGATTCTGAATGATCTTCGGATGATTGAATAACGGCGGGAGAAGGTGATATTTCCTGTATACCTGTCGATTGACTCGGTGGTAAAGTAGAAGTCGGCGCGATGTTCCTCGTGGAACTCGGCACAAAGAAGCTGGAAGTACTTTCAATAATCTGAGCATATCTTCCCTCAATGCTGGTGCCAATTACTTTTGATTGATAAAGTGTAGTGGTACCGTTATTCTCCATCTGACCTTGAATCAAACGTACCAGGCCAGTTCGATGACCTTGAGTCGGCGGAATGCTTGCTTTTCTTTCCTCGTCTATCTTTGTGCTTGACGTACTTTCGATCACTTTAGCGTAAGTACCCTCGAAAAGTGTACCAATTTGTTTCGTCGTAAAGTAAACAGTGGTGACTTCATCAGCGTCTACTACACTTCCTCTATTCAAAGATAAAATTCCTGTAGGTAGGACCGGTGTAGCTATCGATGAAGAAAGTAATGACGGTGTTTCTATTCTCGTCGAGCTCTTTTCCACTCGTGCGTAATATCCATCTATATAAGTACCATATACATCCGTCGTGTAATGAGTCGTGGTATCTTCATGTATTTCACTCGAACGTATTGTCGAAATCAAACCTGTTTTGAAAGTTTCGGGTATCTTAGATGATGTCACGGTTTTATCGTCTGTATTTATAGTTTGAATTGACGGATACACAGGTCCACCGATCGCGCGACCAGTTGCCTGTTGTGTCGCAATATCTGGTATCGATACGCTTGTTACGGTCTCCAGTCTGCTGGACAAGATTGTCTCATTTCCGACGTAAGATGTAGTGAAGTAAGTGAATGTGGTGTAGAATGTTGTGGGCTCGGGTGAAATTGATGAAATGTTCACCGCGTTTTGATCGTCAGGTCTGGTTGTTATTGACGATGGTTCATTTAAATTTTCGGTGATAGATTTTTCAGAGCCAGCTCTGTCGACAGGTGTTACTTCATTATCCGCCGTAATTTTGGACTCCTCTTCATTGGCTAATTCCTCCTCTAACGGTGGATTTACAGTTGGCGTATAAGTCATTATTACTCCGAGCTCTACTGTAGGCGTAGGCGAGACGTCCGATGTAATAATATTGCTGACTGTTTCCTCACGACTAGTGGTTATGGTGTCACCACCCTTGTAGAACGTCGTCCAATATGTAAAGGTCGTGAAATACGTCACCGGCAGAGTGCTAGTTGGAACCGGCACTACGATGGACGGCCTTAAAGTCTCCGTGACGACATTCGTAACTGTTTCCAGGCGACTGGCGACATTCGTTTGATCGCCCTTATACATTGTCGTGAAGTATGTGAAAGTCGTGTAACTAGTTTGTAGAAGCAATGTCGGCGCGGGTTCTACTTCATGGTTGTTAGACTCCGACAATTCCTGATCTTCGGGAACGATGTTTCTTTTGTCCACATCCAGAACAGTACCGCCACCAGAACTGGAAGAGGATACGACGTCTGTGATCATGGACCCCAGAACTTCCACCTCAGTCGAAGGATTAGGCGTTACTTGCGCGCCTATTTGGAAATCACGAAATAGACGCTCAGTGGTGAACTGATCTTCCAAAGTGGTAGGTTCCTCCGTTGTAATCTCAGTATTGTTTTCGGTAGTTTCAGCATGTATTACTTGATCAATGTTATTTTGCTGAACTTTCTTTGCTAATAAAAGTGCCTCTTCTTGTGACTTCTGACGTTGAAGAGCTTCTAAATAAGCCAAAATTTCTGGAGGAGGCGCAGGCTTATTTTCGACAGATTGAGGTCTTGGCGTCGTTGGTCGAACCGTCTCTTGCGGAATCGATTGAACCTTGGTAGGTGTAATTGTCTCTGTGACGACGTTAGTGAAAACTTCGGTTCGCGTCTCGATTTCCGTTTCATCGTCTACAAAGATAGTGGTAAAGTACGTATATGTCGTATAATATGTCTTCACTTGTTCCTGTATTTCTACGCTTGCCATAGCTGGCGTGGGGCTTGGTTCTAAATCGGTGGTCCAACCGTCAGATATTACAAAATCATCAATAGTCGTGATGGATTCCGTTGGAATATTCTCGTGTAACGTGGTATCCTGCTGCTGGAAAGTGGTTAGACCTCCCTCTGTCGTTTCATCAGGACCTTCTAGCTCAGTATCTTTATTGAATTTCTCGGGAGTGCGACCGTTTGTTATTACCGACGGCAAGATGTTCTGTGATATCGTCGTTGGCGATATCAGAACAGAATCATCTTTATTGAAGAGGCCGGCAACAACGGCAGAAACACCATTTGGTCCAACGGTTTGCGTGATAACATTAGTCTCGACAACTTGCCGACTGGATACACTAGATGTATTTTCTTGAAAGAATGTCGTTAGATACGTATACGTCGTGTACAAAGTTTTAAAAATGAGCTCTATCTCCTCATCCTGTTTGGTAGTTTGTTCCTCTTCAGTCAAGCTTTCATCAGGCAAGCTTGGTGTTTTCTGCCTTGAGTCTGGCGAGATAGTAGGACGAATTAAATTTTTGGTCGAGGTAGGTCGAATTAACTCTGTCAAAAACGTTACTTCGGAAGAGACTACCTCCCGAGAACGTATCGAAGTCTTAGTCTGATCACTACCGCCCGGAATAAAGAAAGTTGTGAAGTATGTGAACGTCTTGTAGACTGTAGACGGCAGTAATCTAGTAGCCAACGTTACTTTTTCTTCCTCGTTGCCTGAATCATGTTTATGTCCGGGTTGGAGATTATTTTGAGAAGAGCCGCCTTTGATACTACGACCCTGAGGATCTCCTGGCACGATGTCATTAGGAATTTCGTCGTCTAAAGTCGGTATCACCGATTCGGTCGTTCCTAATACTCTTCTTGCACTTTCTAAGATGTCCTTCAGTGTTGTTAAGACACTGTCTGTTGTGCCTCTCAACGGAGTAGTCAGTTCATTCATCTCTTCTTCGCTAGTCGTGATGGTCGTCGGCGTAGTAGAAGGCAGTGCTTCGACAGTAGTGTCCGGATCGTTGAATTCTGTTTCAGTTGTACCGTATTCTGTAGTTGTGTCGTCGGCTCCATATGTTACGGTAGCATCATCCGGGAAGAAATATACGTTCGAAGATGTATGAATTATTTGCGCATAATTCGTGCCAATATATGTGCCATAAATGAGACTTTTGTAATGTGTCGTGGTACCGTCTAACGAAGTAGTAGAATCAACGACCTTCACAAGACCCGTTGGCTTCAACGATCCTGTTTCGACATCAGGTACCAGCAGTAACGGTTCCGTAGATCTCTTGGATGATTCAACGTCAATTTCCTCGGTGACGCTTGGCTGAATATTGTCGCGATTAATAGTGCCTGGAAGTTGCTCGTTCGAATCGTGCTTCCGGCCCTCCTCATAAGGTCGATCAGTTTTTGTGTGTTGTTTCATCACAGTCGTTGGTTGAATCTTTAATACTGCTATACCATCATCCGGACGAAGCGTAGCATCGCCTTTGATCGTGGTAGCGGGACGTCCCATGGGTGCCGGTGATGTGCTCGGCGAAAAGACGATGACGGTATCGCCGACCGTTGTCGTGAAATCCGCGAAGCCATGATAGGTCACTGTAGCAAGAGGCTTCATATCTAGCTTCTTTTGTTGCGGAATTTTCACCTGCTGTTTAAAAATCTTCGGTGTTCGAGGTCTAAAGCTTCTCGACACATCGTCGAAGGAATCGAAGTTGTTTGACACGTACTCCTGTTTGACGGTATAAGTAGGCAGATCGGCCGGTTGAACTTTCTCTGGCTTGAATCTCTGCATATCTATATTTAGCTCTCTTTTATTGAATATATCATTTTCTTTGGACAGTTCGTCCAGTTTCGAGGTATTCCCAATATCCTTTTTCTCTTCATTTGATTCGGTATTGATTTTACCACTCAGCCTTTCAGCTCTGAACGGCGCGTTATCAAGGGCCAATCGAAGCTGCCAATCGTCTTCCGGTGTCCTCGAAGGATAAACGATGTAGGGACTCGCCGAATCCGGCGTTGGATTTTTGTAAACTCTACTGGATGTAGATAGAATTCTCGCGTAGAGACGACCGTTATCCAAGGTTGTGCCCACAACTTGAGTGGCGAATTCGGTACTCGCGCCATGTTGCACAAATGTCCGTGCCGTTTTCGTCAATAATCCAACCGGTGGTAATGACTTTCCATAAGGAATTGCTGATACCAAAAGGACTGTGGTCACTCCTGAGTAACCAAGTTCAAAAGAAATATACGGAATAATATGATAACGGCATAGAAATACGTCGCGTCAATAATTTGTCAATGAAATTGTTGGCAACGAACAAAGAAACAGGGGAGGGCGATTACATCAGCAAAACAGGACGCGAAGTTATAGAAATGTGATTGATTTAGAATCAAGCGTAAATATGTGCAACGAATTTGATTCGTTCAGTCACATTTCACGTTTACGAGTCCGTCCATGTCGTAACCATATACCGAAATACGTCAGCGTCGTTTGTTTGCGTCAGTCAATGTTCGCGT